CACAGCAACTAGTTTCCATAAATACCGCAACTCTCCGCGTATGAACTACATGTTTCTGCTATTGTCTCTGATGATGCATCCGCGACGGAATCCGAAACGTCAGGGGAATAAAATTCCTGTCCCAGGGAGCACATCTACCTCTTTTCAGTTACTTCCCGGGATTCGCCTGCACTGGTAATACCATGAACTTAAGCTGTCTGCAAGGAAAAAAGATCCAAATATCTTGATGGAGGAAATTATAGGAGTCCTCAACAGCTCGTTGCAATGGAAGCCACAAGCATTATTTCCTTAGGCACAACCGGATCACGTCAATGCGCCATATATAAGTGGGTGAAGATTTTATCAGTTTACGGAATCCCCTATGCGTACTACAAAGCAATGGTCTTGCAGGTACTGCAAATGGCAATACTTGGGAAACTCGTTTGACCCTTTCAAAAGGAACAGTGCAGATGATATCATTAAGCAGTCTGTGGAAAATGGAGGATGGACTGTATCTGCTAAACTAACTGGAAATCCTACGCATTGGTCTCATCGTCAAATGTGCAATGAAGATACGGATCTAACAATGATTAAATACTTCAATGGAAGTGCATATATGCATAATCAATGTTACATTAGACGCATCACTACTAAAGCATCTAATTGGCCAATGATCATTACTGTCTACCCTGGAATTAATTCTTCAGGTGATTCAGATCTCGCATGCTACTGGCATGGATGAAGTGGAGTTGGTCAAGAAATTGACTCGGGAACTGATAATACAGGACCCATTGCTCCGTTTGTTCCCAAGTTTGGTAATTCCGACCAAGATGAAACCAATCCAAGATGCCGCGCCACGTGCGTCATGGAAGCTTACTTAGATATCGAAGTGCAATCATTACCACAATACTACACAGACAGCGATTTCAAGGTACTCTCTTCCGAAAGGATGGAGCAGAGCACTTTGTAAAGTAGAAGCCACCCACTGCAACCCCCTGATATGAGCATACCTTCTCATCCTAAACCTATATGGCCACAAGGAAAACTCTATTGGAACAATTGGGGATGACAGTTACCCCGTACTGACTCCTAATCTGCCCTTGGAAAAATACTCTTTTCAATAAATTATATACGCATTTGCCACATCCAGGCCATCCGGGCCATCTGC